TAAACTCGGTCATAAACTTCTCTACACACCTATGACCGGTAAAATAAAATGCCCTAAATTATACCTTTGCCTTGCGCATTCCATTCCATCTCCTCCGGTGTTGATGTAACACATGCCCCAACCAATCACAAATGATATGATCCACTTTATATCATCATGTGACCCTATTGGTTCATTGATCTTGACTTCACTTGCTTTCACCGTTGCCTCCGTCCATCGACGCCAAGTCTTGCTCAAGCTTCACCGCCACGCGGTCCATTGCTCCAAAGCCTCCAACTTACCCTTCACGCTTGCAACCGGTCCATCAAGCCAAGTCTTGTCTTGATCTTCTCCGCCTTAGTCATATGACTCCATATCATGTCTCATATGCAATGAGTTCCTTCATCATGTGTAAGCTTTGCAACATCTCCGAGACATTTTCACCTCCATGGCATATGTTGCTCACACACATGCACCTATGGACTAATCACCTGTGCATCCCATATTAAACACAATTAGTCCACCTAGGTTGTCACTCAATTACCAAAACCAAACAAGAACCTTTCACCTCTGTGTCGGTATCGAGCTCCGCAATGATGAGCGTCCATTCGTCCAAGCAACAAGGTGACATTGTGCTAAAAGCGCATGTTGCAAGCCTATGTTTCAAGTATTTCAGATATTTCAGAGATATGTTGCAAGTGTTTTTATGCAGATGTTGCAAAAGTAGATCGGGATGTAGCATATGTTGCAATGGTTGTACACGTATGTTGCAAGCTTATGTTCCCAATGTTTCATCTGTTTTTTCAGACGTACGTTGAAAGTGTGTTTATTTGGATGTTGCATATGTTTCATATATATATTTCAAGTGTTTTATCTGGATGTTGCATATGTTTTACAATGGTTTTCAAGCGTTTTCAAGTGTTTTTGCTAGTGTTTTAGATACATGTTTCAAGTGTTTCATTTGCAGTTAGACGTATGTTGCAAGTGTTGTATCTGGATGTTTTAAAAGTAGATCGGGTGTTGCATCTCCCTCCTCGCTTTTCTGCTGCCTCGCCTCGGTGTCTCCTCCTCCTTTCAGGTGCCGGCTGGGCATCCACCGCCCCCTCCCCCTCTTCTTGATGCTAGTGACGTTCGAGGTGGCGTGAAACGGTGGCAGGTGCGGGTGTCCGGACACCCCGTTCATCCGGACGTCCGGGCGCAGCCCGTAGTCTTATGAGAACAAATAAGGTGATGTTGTTGTGTGAAGAAAGTGCATGCTTAATTTAGTGTCACTCCTCAAGGAACAGCTATCAGTTGTGACAGTTTTTTATAGGGCACATATTGTTAAAGGCGTACTAGGGCAATTTAAATCTCACCTGTGGAGCCCATGGTGTGTCAGCAACCAGGGTCTGTCTACCACATCATCATATTTGCATAATCTTCACGGCAACCCTCTCCAAGGGTAATAATCTGTATTAAGTCTCAATTACACAGGATTACTCATGGTGTTCATCTCTGTCTTTCCAGAGGTCCAGTACACTGCAACCATTTCTAGTGGTTTCAAACAAAATGGTGAGCACAGTAAATTCTCAGGAATCTTAATGTATCCAGCAACCATGTCATGAGGTAATGCTTTGCCTCCAGAAAACAAACTGGAATAATATTACTCAGGCCTTGTTTAAATTTAGGGTGTAAAATTTTGGAATATCACATCAGCTGTTAAATCAGGGTGTTACATGGGAGTGTTCGGATAGTAATAATAAAATAAATTATAGAAGTCCTCAGTACTCCGCGAGACGAATTTATTAAGCCTAAGTAATCCGGCATTAGCATATGTTTATTGTAGCTTTACTGTAGCACCACATTATCAAATCATGGACTAGTTAGGCTTAAAAGATTCGTCTCGCAAATTAGACGCAATATGTGCAATTAGTTATTTTTTAGTCTATATTTCATACTCCATGTATGTGTCAAACATCCGATAGAATAGAGACTAAACTTTAGGAGGAGGAACTAAACAAGTCCTGCTGCTTTAAGCCTGCCAGGTCTGTGCACTTGTGGCATCTTGATTCCCAAAAGAAAGAAGAAACCAATCAACCATTAATAAGATAAGGAAAATTTTCCTTTAAAGAAAAGAACAAAAGGAACTGAAGACAGGACTAGTATAGCTACAGAATTTGATCCTTAAGTGTCACATTTTCTGACCCCTCGAGTTATTACTTATTACAAACGTGTGAAGAAACCTACGTGATTTCTGCTTATGTAGTTATGCTAAAAAGATGCGGCTACTATTACTTCTCAACTTCTGATTGATAAATCGATTCAAATATTCAGAAATACCTCGCACCGCAGAATATATACTTGCCTGCCCATGAACTGCAGTATTTTATGATCGCATCTATGTGTAAGAAATCGAGATTCAGGAAATGAGTTGCATCTGGGAATTGCTCAGCTTACAAGGCAATAATATCCCTGATCAACCTGCCAAACTGGCTCTACACTGATCTAGTTTGATTAACTCGCCATTCAAAAGAGAAACTACAGAGATATCGTAGGTGAAGCGAAGGAGGAAGGACTCACAAAAATGACAGAACCCAATTGATTTGACAGAATGCCAACAGAATTGAATTCTGCAAACTGGTAGCAGCAAGCAATCTTTTGCCTCTCTGTTCTAAAGCTTTAAACCTGCAAGCTTCCTACACTTACCTCATGTTGATTTTCTCCAAGGAGAAGTTTACTAAACAAAGAAATAATTATGGAATATTTCTTTAGTGAAAAAAATATGGAATTGAAGAAAGGCCAAACTAAGCTCAGGAAATGTTCGTCCAACTGGCCCCACCACGATAGTCGATAGGCGTGCTTCCTGCATCCAAGTTGAGTTAAAGAAGACTTGTGAAACATTGTTAAACGTCAAACCATCCAATTTATTGCCTTCAGCTACATCTCAAAGTGACTTTGCAGTAAATTTTCAGGGAATCAACACAGAAAGGAGAAAAAATTGCAAAGTCAAGGTCAAGATCAAACGTGTCAACAGTCACAGCTTAAGCATGAGCAACACCTGAAAAGCATGAGCAACCGATTCACCCTTCAAATGTAAAACCCCTAACAATCTCATTCTCATCTGATCCCCCCTCCTAACTTCCACCAGAAAAACAATGCAGGACTAAAAACCACCGGATTCCCTCCTAAACCAGCTTCGAATTCTCACTACTTAAACCCCCTGAAATGCCACAGGAACCATCCCCTGATCAAAAACCCACGAAACCAAGAAACCAACATCTCCTGCAGCTCTGAAGATCACCATGGACGTCAAGAAGAGATGGTCACCACCAATGCCTTCTCTTGTGCTCCTGCTGTTCGCCTTCATTGCAGCAGACAGCCGCGCCGCGGCGCAGGTGTTCTGCCGCTCGCAGTTCAACCTAGCCAACGAGGCCTGCAGCCTGCGCCCCTTCTCCGGGCCCAACCCGGCGCAGCCGCTGCAGCTGCACAGCAACGGCTCATCGGCTTCAGCGGCGTCCTACGAGACGCAGGCGGACCACCACGACCACGAGCACGGGCACGAGCACGAGCGCGAGCACACCCACAGCCGGCGGCACGGCTTCGGGCACGGCGGCCGCGACCCCTACGACACCGCCTGCTGCCGCCGCCTCATGGGCATCGACAACGCCTGCATCTGCCAGGCCATGTCCTTCCTCCCCGTCTTCATGAGCAAGGTCAAGCACGCCATCAAGCTCAGCCCCGTCCCGGGCTGCGACGTCTCCTTCGAGTGCGGCGCCGTCTACTGAACTGGCGACCTTGGCTTAATTGGAAGGCTAGGAGCCATTTTTCGGTTCTTGCTGCCTCTAACTTTTGAAACAAAATAAACTGTTGCGTGCATTATATGGAAAATTATACCTATATGCTTCTTCAGCCTTTTTGAATTAGAATTTTCTTAGCGTTACGTTGTAATGTAACTCCTACACTACAGATATTGCATCGGGAACAAAATCATGCATAATATTTTCAGTAGAGTTTTTGGAGCTTAAATTATATTCAGAAGAATGTGGATCTTAATCTTGACTATTTAAGAGCAATGCTGACTGTCATTACCACCACTTCAGCATATGCCTATACTAAACTTTCAGTGTATGGTGTTGTAGATGCACAACTCTAGAAACATTTCAGCGTGTCTCTGTGTCAAGAGAGAGAGAAAATGAACCACTACTTGGTATCCAAACTGCAGAAAGCAGTTCTCGAACTAAAAATGTCACAAAGTGCAGATAGATAACTCCTCTTCAGAAGGAAATTGCACTCATTATGTTCAATTTAGATAACACAAAAAAGGAAAAATATATATACTTATCAAACCTATTCAGATGGAGTAATATTCTAAATTTCTTTATCCAACTTTCTAAAACTAAATACTTTCTCAGCATGATTAACTGTAATTAATTAATCCAATATCCATTCGCTCAAGCGATGCTGCTCCGTACAGTTAGCAAGGAAATCTTACAGGTACATGCATATATTACAGGCAGAAACATGTCACTAACAGATGTAGTTAGATATACATGCCTATATATGCACAAGAAGAACCAACAGGCTGCTGGCAGCCTGGCATGCACAGATGATTCATCAGCATCAGCTCTGAAGTTAGAACTAGTTAGATACTAGCACACACAGGCAAGTTCCTCTAGGACAGTTCCAGACAACATTCATAGGTCGACTTCTCTCCACACCCCACCAACATGCACCCCAGCCATCCGTGAACAGACTGAAATCTCAAGCTCAAGTAAGAATCAAGAGCAAGTTCCTGCATAATAGACACCACCAAAAGCAGGTTTCTGCAGAAGGTAACAGCATCATCAGCAGGTTTTCGCAGAACTGAACACCGTGAAGAGCAGGTTTCATAGGAAGCATCTCTGATGCAACCTCACAGTAACTCGAATTCATTTTCCATTGAAAAGAAGTCACATCCAAGGTTTCAGTAGGAGGCATTTCTGATGCAACCTCATAGTAACTCGAGTTCACTTTCCATTGAAACGAAGTCGAACCCACTCCAATCAAGCTCTGCATCCAGATCGAACTCTGGTTCCTTGAATTGAAGAGGCAGGTTCATATGTAGCATCAATAAAATCACTGACGGGGAACATAGCTTCCAGCCTGGTGAGATCATCGAGTGGGGGTTCATCAGTTGGGCTGACAGAGTCAATGAAAGGAAGCTCATCTTTCCAGTTTAGCATGACATCCTCTGAAGTCTCCATAGGGGTGGAGGAGTTCAGTAAGCTTTCATCCATAGGCTCATGGTGGAGAAGCTCATCCTCTGAAATCTCCATGGATACTCCATTCTGCTGCGCTTCTTGTACGCTCTGCTTGCATAACACAGATGAAGAGGCACAGGAAACCAAGGACGAGCTGGACAAAGCTGCATGTTCTGGCACAGGCTCTTGAGCTTTCATTGCCAGCATCTCTGGGTGGAACTGGAACCATTTTGCCTGATATGTTGCAGCAGCAGCCTCCTCAGTGTCATGTAAACTGTACTCCCGTCTCTTTGTCAAAGGATTGCGAATCTCTGCTTGCCACCGACCTGAGTCCCGCAGGCGCACACCACAGTACCTGCTCAATGGTACCTTCCTCTCTGGACTTTTCAGATCCTTTATTCGACATGGCATGATGGCTTTTAGAGGTCTCGAGGTCTTATATTTCCTAACTGGAACTAGAACCTCTCTTATAATTTTCTTTTCTTTCTTGGAATTTTGATCATCCTCATCATCGGAGGACTCAGTTGCATCAGGATCGCAGCAGAAAATGCGGACCTTCCGCATAGAGTGGATCTTCTTGTAGCGCAACATCCAGATCCCACGCAACAGCAATCTGCACATACGGAAACTGATTTCATCAAATCTGCTAATACAAGGTTTACTATCATCACACATATATGAAAGAGAAGATGCCTCCAAGAGTCCACATACCAAGTAAGGTACGTCTACAACTTGAGCAACGAATTTATCAAATCACAAAGATGGTTCTCTTTTAACTTCTGAACAGAGTTGGAGAAAGGGAGATTAGTTTCCTTTGCCAAAGATGTCTCAGAAATTAAAATTCAGGCCGACTGTTGAACTTAGAGGAGGGGTGCAAAACACAATCCACCCAAACCAAACCTGGTAGCATTTAAATCAGACAAGATTGTAAGACAAGGGCTCACCCAAGTTAAGAGAAGGCAAATAGCAGATACTCTGTTCACTCTTAATTTGTTTGAAAGTATAGTTCCATATAGTTTAACACTTACCAAGATTGCTTGTTATTTGGGGATTCTTCAACTCGTATGCAGGAACCCAGAGTACTTGACCCCAAATCCAAATCTGAAACCAATGTAAACTACTATGGAAAACTTAAACTGAAATGCAAACATTACTTGAATATATGAACTCTTGCAATACATGAGCAAACAGATATGAACTGATGTAAACCTCCATCTTTGCATGTGCCAAACTAATAAGAGGTAATATTATTATGTTCATATACCAGAATGTACAGATCAGTTATCATCCAGCTCCAAATTGAAATCAGACCAACATTGCAACATGGTTATCTTCAAATTGGTACATGTGAGTAGACTGAACAAGCAGGCAATTATTGCACTAACATGTGAACAACAGATCAGTTTTCATGGCTACAGAAAAAAACCTTTGATGGTTTGCTACTACAAAAAAGCAAGCATCCCTGACTGCTAAATTGGGTGAAAAAACACAACAGCGACAACTGAAGAAGGAGGTACCATCGGACAGATAGGCAACATAAATCTTTGGATAACGTAGTCTGATTGTCTGATTCATATAGGAGACTATATAAGCAGGGTAACAGGGTTGGAGACTACAACAGAAAAAGAAATCTTCGCACCACCAACTTGGCCGTAATGTAGCTCAATCAGGCATGCGGAAAGTTACCTGGAGATCCTGAAGCGAAACCAACAGGCTCTGGCGGCGCCCCTCTTCCAAGGCTGGAGGAGAAGAGAGCAAGAGGAGGATGGTGACGGGAGCTCAGAACCATGAAGCTGGAGCAGTGCAGGCGACATAAATCAACAGCGCGCGCGTGCCGTGCGGCGGCGGCGAGGGATACTCCACCCCCTGTTCTCTGCTGCTTGTCGCACAAACACCGAAGAACTTGTGTCAAATTCTAACAAAGAGGAGGAACTGGGGAAATTTAGATATAAGAAGAAAGAAAGATTACATTTTTTCCGCTTACAATTAGAGAAAGGGACAGCAGCTTCGGTATTGGAACAATGCCCAAGAAAATCGCCGGAAAAAGGAAAGGAAGGTAAAAGAGAGAGAAAAGAACTGCTCGAAATCGTACGGAACTCCAAGAACCCTACCGGATTGCCCGCCCAAATTTCCCAAGAACGAGAAGTCCCGAGAAAATAAACAGGGCAGGCGGAGAGAAAAGAGATCATCCGAATTAGGAAACCCCACGCAGGTCCCGCGAACGAAGAAATGCAATTCGACTCGACACGCCACTTACACGAGCTCGGGTGCGACGGCGACCTGCGGAGCCCGGGCCGGGGACTGATTGGGGCCGTGAAACCGACGGGACTGGAGGGAATCAGGGGGTTGAAGCAGATCGGGGCTTGATCAGGACTCCGGAGGGCGTGGCAGATGGGTTCAGAAGGAACGGATTTGGATGCTTTTGGTTTCTCCGGCAGGGAAGAAGGGTGGCGGCGAGGGGTTTTAATGGCTTCCTGTTGGAAGAGGCGGAGGTCGACGGCGGTGCGAAACTTGCGTGTGCGCAGGCGCAACGGTACTCAACGACTAGCAGTGAGAAGAAAAAAAAACGAAATTAAAATGTTGTCATTATTATAAAAAGTAGCCTTTGCGCCTTGGGCATGGGCCTGTTTGGTTCTCTTATTCGGCACGACTGACTGGCAGCACGGCAAGTGTGCAAACTTAGTATGTTTGCTTATTTCTATAAATTTAGCCAGGCTAAAAGAGATAGTGTTTGAGAATATAAGCACGAGGCAAAATATTAAAAACAAATGTTATTATATTGTTTATTTTACATAAGTATATTTTAATAGCTCTTAGGTTTCCTTGTTAAACCCTAATCATCTTTTAAAAATACTAATCCTACTTAATATAAGTTAATTTCTTATTTAATACCATCACTAGTGAGAGAGCACCCGCATGCGGCGAGCTAGGCCCGCCAGGAACGACCTGTCCTTGCGTTTCTCTGGCAGATGCAAGGAAATCTTACATGACGTGAGCCTGGTCCCACAGTTGCGTCGACCAAACAATCGCCTATTCTCGCATGTGTAGGGCCTAGCTGAGGGTAGGAGCAGACAACCAAACGTGCCCTTTGAAGACCGGAGAAACTGCTTGGTCCGTTTAGGATCCTAATTTTTGTTCCATAAAAATTCCACCAAAGTTCAAAAGCCAACAAAGTTTTATCCCTATAAAACTTAATTCTTTTTTTAGAAAATATTGATACATTATTTATTAAAAATATTTATATAGCAAACTATTAAATGTGGTTAAAACTCAAATGAAACTTTTGTTCAAGCCTAAGCGTGTTTAGTTCCACGAACTTGGAATTTTGGGGTTATCAGAAAGTAACGCTTAATTACGATTTGGCAATTAGTGTTCAAACATGGATTAATTAGGCTCAAAACGTTCGTCTCGTAATTTCCCACCAAACTGTCACATCGAATGTTTGTGGTTTATGTATGAAGCATTAAATATAGACGAAAAAAAACTAATTGCACAGTTTGGTGGGAAATTACGAGACGAACGTTTTGAGCCTAATTAGTCCATGTTTGAACACTAATTGCCAAATAAAAACGAACGTGCTACAGTAACCCCAAATTCCAAGTTCGTGGAACTAAACACGCGCTTAGGCTTGAACAAAAGTTTCATTTGAGTTTTAACCACATTTAATAGTTTGCTATATAAATATTTTTAATAAATAATGTATCAATATTTTTCTAAAAAAAGAAGAATTAAGTTTTATAGGGATAAAACTTTGTTGGCTTTTGAACTTTGGTGGAATTAAATGCCTATGGAACAAAGAATGAAACATGTATTGAGAGTAGTTGTTTCAACCATGTTTCATTATATTTTGAGTTACATGTGAATCTAACATGTATTGAGAGTAGTTGTTTCATCCATGTTTCGCATCTTACCCTAGTTTGAGTATTTTTGCCTTCGTCACATAGTCTACCGCCATATTTATTTTCCTGTACTATAACCTTTTGCGCCATAGCTTTTGCATATTTCAGTTTTAGAGTCCACATGTTGAGTTTGTGTCCTAAGTTAAGATCTTGTTGCTAGTTTAGATCGTGTTTGAGTCTCGTTTATGTGATTGCTCCGTTGTCTTCCATCAACCCTTGCCCTTACCATAAAAAATCTACATCTTGTGTCCACACAAAACCCTAATTCGACCTTCATTTCTTAAAATAGTCATAACTTTTGCATCCGGACTCAAAATAGGGTAAGCTATGCCACTTCCACTAACACTTCTTGCAAGCCTCCACTCTTGTTCAAGATCTATTTGACTACTCAGGGATTCACGGGATCTCACAATCCAATTGAAATTGAATAACCCTGTTGTTTCGATAGCAACATCACAACAAATTCATGGCATCTCACAATCCAAAGCAAGCAAGATATGCTGCACAAAAAGAAAGTGAGCCAACCAACCTTCCACACATCAAAATGGACGCATAAGGACTTGGTGGCGGAGACGACGTTGATGGCGATTCAGAGGAGCGCGGTGGTGGCCGTGACGCCGTTGAAGCAGCCACAAGCGATGAGGAGCGAGTCAGAGCCGGTGTAGGGGGCTGGCCTGCACAACTGCGGCTGGTGCACATCCCCGCCTCCACCTTCGTTCCCCTACATCGAGGAGGAGGGCCTGTCCCCCGACGACAATGCAAAGGAGCACTTCGCGCAGAGCGCCGCCAGTGTACCACAATAGGGGTGGCGACGTTAGTTTTTCATGGCGGAGGGGGCGCCCGCGGAACAGAAGCCCCGTGCAAAATAGAAAGCATCGGGCTAAAAGAATAGATGGAAACCGATAAGTAGAGGTAATGTGTAATTAGTGGCAGCGGTGGGTAATTTCTCTCTAACTCTACTAGGAAGTACAAAAATCCAAATCCTAGAGTACCCCTTGAGGTGCTACACAAAAAACATTGAGTTAGCCTTCAACTCCACATTTTTTCTTGGAGTGGAGTTTTAGGAGCTGGAGGTGTTCGGGCAAGAAAAAGTGGAGTGGAGTTGCAAAACATGGGGTAGAGCTATACTTGGCCATCGGGCCGGCCCGGTTCGGCACGGGCAAGGCACGGCCCGGAGGATGTCGGGCCGGCACGGCACGCCGTGCCTCCCGTGCCGTGCCGCTACGGGCCTCGTGCCTGGCCATCAGCCCAAGCACGGGCCCGTGGGCCTAAATCCATGCCGGGCCGGCCTGCTAGGCACGGCCAAATCAGCAGGCCGTGCCAGCCCGAGGCCCATAGGTTCAAAAAAAATCATCTCAACAAGTATTCAAATTTGAAGAGCTTCAAACCAAAACCAAAACCATACACACAGAGAACAAGAGGAAATTAAAAGGATAATTGAGTTGTGTGCAATGCTGCCTCATTAAAAACCTTTTTGGGTAAAACTCACCCTTGTGAGAAACCCTAGAAAGGGAAAAAGAGTGCAGCACAGCTCTTATAAGTCTTAAACATGTTCAAAGGTTTACATGATACATCACAGATTCACAGATACAGATCATAATCAAGTCTCAGGCTCTCAGCTCACCTCTCAAGTCTCACACTCTCACTGTCTCAATCTCAACTCTCAACTCAAGAACCACCAGAAGCAGAAGCCACAGATGCAGATGTGCTAGTAGAAGGAGCCCCAGAAGTAGATGCATCTTCATCAAGATAGAGATGCTCGAAGGAGTCTACCAGTTCTTGGTTGTCAACATCATGCTGTAGTCTTCTTTCACCCAGCTCCCAATCTTTTATGCAAGCAAGCATCTCCACATGTTCATGCAATAGTCGATGGCGCCACTCCTCAAGTATTCTTCCTGTCAAGCTGAAACAAGATTCTGAAGACACTGTTGAAACAGGAACTGACATAATGTCTCTAGCCATGATAGAAAGCACTGGATATGTTAGCTTATGGTCACGCCACCAGAGAAGTAGATCAAAGTCATCCTCATATGCAGTGACATTGTCACTATCCAGATAAGCAGATAGCTCACAAGCAGCAGCAGAAGTAGATAAAGAAGGACTGAGAGCAGAGGCAGGGGAAGGTCCAACAACACCAGATGCTCCAGGGCCTCCAAAAATTCTTCCCCATGCCTGCTTCCTCTTACATGTGATGCTTCCAGGTTGTGCAGCCCTCCTTTGAGACCTAGCTGCACCAAACTTTTCTTCATACTTGTTAAACAACTTGAAAATTTTAGTTTTCACAATACCATAATAAGAACTGTAGTCAAAACCAGT